CTGTAGTCAATACAACTTGTATCGACTACATGATTAGCTGATAAGGAAAGGCGCTCAGTCCTGGCTCGCGGTGGGTCCAGGAGCTACTCCCTCTGCGTCTCTGCAGTTTAAATCTAGTAGCAGCTGGGTGTGCCGGTAGTCTGGCTCCTATTACATTTAAACTATGGAGCTGCAGTGGGGGTAGGTCCCTGACTAGGGATGTTAAATTGCATTTAATCAACTAGTCGATGGAATTTCCATTGATTAGTTGATAAGTAGCCTCAGGAGCTAACCCCACTGCAGCTCTGCCTTTTAAATGTATTAAGAGCTGGCAGGCTTTTAATACATTTAAAAGGCTGAAGTACAGCAGTGGGGACCAGGCCCAAGCCGGAACAGCTGATTCCTAGCTTGCACCTGGTTCCCTATGCTGCACTTCAGCCTTTTAAATGTATTAAGAACCTGCAGGCTCCTGCTTCACCTCTCCCTGCTGCCTCTGATACACTTCCCCCCCCCACCCTTCTACCTCTGTGAGTAGTCGACTACTTGACTACTCCTTTACATCCGTACACTGACTCCAGTAAAATTATGTGTTACAACAGTAGTAATTTGGGCCAGGGGACTGTCAGTTAATCACAATTAGTTCTTACAATGATCTGAGTGCTGTCATAACTATATCTTAAAATGAGGAATTAATAAGAGAAGATTAATTTTTAAGGAATAAGATCCCAGATGAAATGCTGGACCCACTGACATCAATAGGCATTTTAACACTGACTCCAGTGAAGCCAGGGGATTCATTTCTGTCTTTAACCAAGCACCTTTAACTTTCAACAATGAGGGGAAAACACCAGAAAATTGTACATGAGTGGAAGTGTTCTTAAATAGAATGTTTTCCATGAGACATCAGAGCCTCTTTAACCCCTTCACTTTAGTAGACCATTTTATAATTCATTTTAAAAACATAACTGCAGCAATCACACATCTGGCATTTTCCTAATTGTTGCTTATTAATTTTCAACTGAAGTGAAGGGATTAAAATCTATGACTTATAAATACATGTAAAAAGGCATCTTTGATATATTAGCATGTATATCAAAAATATAAAAGGAATCTATGTAAACTTTTGTAAAGAACTAAACTATCACATTTCTCAAAATTGCTCATAAAATATTCTTGTGCATTGACTTATAATAAAATCTTTTATAAAATCTTATTCTAGCACTCCGTCCACATGGTCAGAAACTAGTCATTCAGAATGTGTGCCTATACTAAACATACAGGGGGGAAAAACAGTGACCAAAAGAACACTGGAACCCGATATAAATATTAGCAATCTGCAAGGAACTGATTGTTTCAAATTTCTCTGAAAATGACCATACAGCAGCCTTTCTGTAATGGTTTCAGTTCAGTGTTGTTTTAAAACAAACAATAATAAAATAACCAAATGTGTAAGCTTGTTTAATAGAATTGACAATGGGGAATGCATAGTATTTTTTCAGAACTTGTGTGTAAAACAAAGTTTAAAATAATTGAGTCTCTTAATTCAATTCTTCTGTGTGTATGCACTCTTTTTAATATTATAGAATTAAAAAAATGATATGAACGTTAGTAAAATGAAAAGTATCTGCACTATGACTAAATGAGTGCTCTGTTATGTTATTTTTCTGGTCAAAATGTGCTAATGTAACATATAAGCTTGGATTCAAGAAGCACTTGGTTGGCTTATAAGAATTCCAAGCAGTGAAATTCTAAGACTAAGCATATATGCATATAAATGTATAAACCAAGAACTAGGGATGTCAATGTGTAGTCGACTATATGATTAACCGATAAGCCTAGGCTTATTGGTTAAATGCATGTAATCGACAAGATTTCTTCTCACCTTGTTGCCTCTGTAGATCTTAAAAGCTGGTTCCCCCAGCACTCCAAAATGCTGCCAGCCCCCTCTGGCTGTTGCCTCTATGGGGTGAGGGGGCTGGGCAGGCTGCAACGAAGCAGCCCCTGTCTGGGGGGGGGGGTGTCTCAGCTCTCCCTGTGGACAGAGACTGCTCTGCCTCCCACACAGCATCCTGTGTCCACGGCAGCCTCCCCCGCTGCAGCAGCCTCTGTTTTCAGGGAGCTCAGACCCCTGTGAACAAGGGCTGCTGCCACCCCATCTTTCAGCCTCTGTATCAGAGGCAGCAACATAAGGTAGTGAGCAGCTGGTCTGCGTGGGGAGCTAGTTTTTAAACTGTCTTCCCTCACAGATCGGCTCCTGCCTGGTACCCCGCACCGCTGCCTCTCATACAGAGGCAGCAGCATGCAGTGACGGGGCTCTTGGGTGAGGTCAAAGTGCACTTGCTGCTGCCCCCCCCCCCCGGGGACTATAGAATAGTCATGTAACCAATAAGAATTTATGTGGTTACACAACTATTCAATTACCCGATGTAACATCCCTACCAAGAACACAGAAATGGAATTGTGATGTCCAGACCATTTTTTTTCTAAAAGATACCTCCTGGACAAGGCACAAGTCCTCAGTGCAAGCTAAGGAATTGTACATGCTTTTGGCTGCTCTGGGCAAGAGCACCCTGCGTTCTTGGCTAGCACTTGCATATTACTTGCAGGATATAAACTACAGGTTGTACCTCCCTTAACTGGGACTCTCTGGTCTGCCAACGAGCATGTTCCAGCATGGGCCACTGACGTTCCTGGACCAGAAAACCCAGGAAGAGGGAGGTCCGGTGGTGGGGCAGGAGTGTCGTAAAGGGCACCAGTGACTCAGCCAGGAGCCCAGAGCATGGGCGATGGGAAGGGGGAAGATGGATGGCATGGCAGGGAGGACTGGCCCCAGTGGAGCTCCCTGGTCCCAACAGCCCTGGCCAGGGAGTTCCGACTCCAGCAGCAGCCAGGAAGCTCTGGCCCCTTCCCCAGCTGGGGCCCGCCAGCAGCCACAGCAGAGCTCCAGTCCTGGCTGCAGAGCTCAGGGGCCGGCAGCAGCAGCCTGAGAGCTTCAGCCTGGAGAGCTACAGCTGGGCAGGCAGCAGCAGGGCTGGATGAGGGCTCTAGCTGGGGGCAGAATGACCGTGTTGAAGGGACTTCCCCTGGTCAAGCTAATCTGCTCCTTCAGGACTGTTCAGGTGCCATACGAGGGAGGTCCAACCTGCAGTTAGTTTGAAGCAGAGTTTTTCTCTCTCTCTTAGCCTTTCAACTATGCTGGGTATCCTTTCTAAATCTCTACGCTGGTTTAGACTGGGAGTTTAGGTTGAACTTAGCCACATCAGGTCACTTTTCTAAACAATGAGTCCACATTACTACAACTTTAAGGGCCGTTAAAGTTGATTTCTGCACTCCTGCTTTCACGAGGAGTAAACCACTAAATTCGATTTTGCCTGGTTGACTTTACAGTAGTGCAAATTCAGTGCTATAAAAGTCAATGTTCTTGGCCTTTGGGAGGTGTCCCATAGTGCCCTGCAGTGACTGCTCTGGCCATAACTTTCAACTCTACTGCTCTCCAGATGAACAGGAGGACTGGGAAATTTGAATTGCATTTTCTGTGTGGCTAGTGTGGCGAGCAGACCTCAGAGGAGGCAGCACACTTGAGCACCACACCTGCCCATGAATGAATTCCATGCATTCAGATTCCATGAGTTCCATAAGTTCCTAAGATCAGAGGTGAGCACCAAGATGGAGGGTGCAGGAGATTCTGGACCTTGTTGGTGTGTAGGGCGAGGAATCTGTTCTCGCAGAACCATGAATCAGCAAAAGAAACACAGATATCTATGCCAATCTCTCAAAGTGCATGGTGGAGGAAGCATACACCAGGAAACACCCAACGGTGCCAAATGAAAACAGAGGAGCTGAGGCAGCTGTACTAAAAGACAAAAGAGGCCAATGAATGGTCTGGAGCATCACCACAAACATGGCACTTCTATGAGCAGCTGCATGCATTCCTTAGGGGGGACTGACCAGCTTCCTGAGCCAGTCTGTGGATTCCTCCCAAGACACTCAGGCTGCCTTGGGCAGCAGTGTGGAGGAGGAGGAGGAAGGAATGGTCAGCAGGTGACCAGCACCACTGATGCCACTGAGAGCCAAGAATTTTTTATAACCTTGGAGACAACCCCCTCCTCCCAGGACATCTCGCAGTCAGGCACTGATCCCAGGGAGGGCACTTCTGGTGAGTCTTTTATCTTGCTAAAACTAGGTGTGATCTGAAGTGGCCACTGTGCCTACACCGTGCGGAGGGGAGGGTGTCCTGGAACAGCTTGTTAATGTGTCTGGAGATGGAGCAGGAATCCTCTCTGTACAACTCCATAAAGCTCTCAGAGGAGCCCTTTAATCCTTCTCCCAAGGTTTCTAGGGTGGTCTGCCTCCATGGTAAGACACCTTTCCATACCAAGCCAGCAATAAGTGATCGGATGTCATTACAACACAGAGCATTTATGCATAAGATCCAGGTTTCTGGCCACAGTCCGTCAGCATCTGCTGCCTATTGGTGTGAGATTTAGAGAAGATTGATATCTCGCATGGCAACTTGTATGAAGCAGGTTATTAACTGATGCCTCTGCTGTAAACCTCTGTTTGCTCATCCCCAGTGAAATATAGCGTGAGCTCCTGCCCTCCCCCGCAGCCAAGCCTGTACCCCCTCCTCCTGCCTGACACCTCCTGTGGGAAGGGAAAGTTGCCCTCTCACAGCAAAGGAGGGGTGGGTGCCGAACACATGGGCGTCGTGTGAGCTCCTGCCATGAACTGCCACCACACACAGGTCCCCCATTCCTTCCCACCTGCAGCTCATGCCCTAGCCTGTCCTTACCATGCTTTCCACCAAACCAGGTCCAGCTGCTCCCCAAAGAACTCTAAGGGGTAACTGCTGCAAAGTGGCTGATTAAAAGCATAACCGTGGCCTTGTACATAACACACTGTTATTAGTTTTAGACAGACCTTCACTTGATTCTAAGAGATTAGGTTTTCCTCTCTACAATGCACCTCCTGTAAAGTCTGCCCTTCAATTTTCGTTACTGCAGGAATAGTAGCCAGGTGCACTCTCCTGGCCCTGCCAGTAGTCAGGCTGGCACAAATCCACTAGTGAACATGGGCTGGAAAAGAGATGTTCAAGGAGCAAATGCAATCTACCAGCTTGGATAGGAATCATGTAAGCGAGTGGAGAAATCTGCTTCTGGGAGAGATGTGAGCAGAGCGTGAGGAAAGGAGAGCATGCAGGGACCTGGAAGTGAAGCACCAGGAGAGAGTGGTGGCATCCGTGGTGGCTGTGATGGACTGCATGGCAGCTTTCCAGGATGCCTACCTGAATAGGCACCCCTCCAGGCCCTGTGCACCAATGTTTCCTCCTCACCGAGTTCCCTAGTCTCCTCTCCCAGGGGCCCTATGACACAGGAGGGTGGGGGGAGTCAAGGGCAGCCCCACACTCAACCTCCAGGGATGTGTCATGAAGCAAAATGCTGATCTCACAATTGTGATCGCCTCTTCGCACCAAAGCTCCCACCTTGGACTTCTTGTCTGTTCCTGTTGTGTTCCCTAAATAAAAATGCATGATTTCTGAATAAGTTTCTTTATTGCTTGTGTTTGAAGGGCAAGCACACTGACTGCAGGGGCACCTTGCTGAGAGCAATATTCATGACTCTCAAAACTGGCCAGTCATAAAACTCTTTCAAAGCCTTTCTGATTTCCACTGCCCCTCTCTGTACAACTCCATAAAGCTCTCAGAGGAGCCCTTATTTCTCTGGTATCTGGCTGCTAAAAATCCTTGGCTAGGTGCTGTGCCTCGTCATTCCATCCCCTTACACTCCCAAATATTGTGGCACACACAACAGGCTGCCACCACAATGGGAATGTTACTTTAGCTGAAGTCTAACCTAGTTCGTAGACTGCAGAACCTTCCCTTTAAATGCCCCAAAGCACATTCTAACACCATTCTGCACTTGCTCATCCTGTAGTTGAACTGCTCTTTACTGAGATCCAGGCTGTCTGTGTACAGCTTAATGAGCCACGGGAGTTTGGGGTAGGCTGGGTCACCAAGGATCACTACTGACATAGCAATATCTCCAGTTGTAATTTTCTGGACTGGGAAAAAAGTTCGTTTGCAGCTTGCTGAAGAGGCAGGAGTTCCTAAAGATACAAGTGTCATGCTCCTTTCCCAACCTTCCTACATGGATGTGAGTGAAATGACCCTTGTGATCCATTAGCTCCTGCAGCACCATCAAAAAGTACCCCTTGAAGTTTATGTACTCCTTTGCAAGGTGGTCGGGTGCCAAGATGGGGATGTGCATTCAATCTATCACCCCCACTACAGTTAGGGAACTTCAGTGTGGCAAAGTCCTCCACTATGTTCTCCACATTTCCCAGAGTCACTACCCTCCATAGCAGAAGGGTATTGATTACCATGGCTACTTGGATCACAACAGCTCCCACTGTAGAATTCCCCATTCCGAATTGATTCCCAACTGACCGGTAGCTGTCTGGGGTTGCAATTGCCACTTGCTTCTCCACTGTCAAAGCTGGTCTCATTCTGGTATTCTTGTACTTCAGGGCAGGGAAAGGCAATTCACAAACTTCCATAAAAGAGGTCTTACGCATGTGAAAGTTTTGTAGCCCCTGCTGATTTTCCCATGCCTACATAATAATACAGTCTCACCAGTCTGGGCTTGTCTGATGGCACCAGAACCAGCATTTCACTATGTTCAGAAGATTGATGCCAGTGGCACTTGCAAGTCTATCAACTCAAGGGCTTCGCTGAAGAGTATGTTCATGGCCTCCTGAGATCCTTCCTTGTACCAGCAGATCCTGGATACTCTCTGGGCATACTCCAGCATTAAGCACACAAAGGGTAACATCATCTTCATAATGCTTTCATGCTCAATTGGATCCACAATGGATTCTGTGCTTACACGGCTATGGCGTCTGCACAGATAAACAAAAGAGAAAAAAAGGACCCCAAAAGACTGTTTGTTTGCCATTGGTCCTAAGCAGGGAGGGGGGAGAGAAGAGGAGGAAATGAGTACATTATGAGCCACTGATGACATGTACCCAGGCTCACCTGCTGTATAGTTTTGGTTCCAACGTGCACTGCTAGCATAACCCAGAACAAAAAGGGGTGGTGGCAGTGTGGGATAGCTATCTTCAGTGCATCCCTCTGAAAGTCAATGATAGCTATTCTACTGAGAATTAGGGATGTTAAAATGCAGGTATTTTACTAATTGAGCAGTTGACAGAATTTTTATTGACTACTCAATTAGTGTATAGGGGAGGGCAGCTGGCTTGGTCCTGGCTCATGCTGGGACTGAATCCCACTGCAGCTCTGCAATTTAAAACAGTAGGAGCCGGACAGCGCTGCTCGGGCTCTACATTTAAAATTTAGTAGGAGCTGGTGAGTAGGCAGCCCAGCTCAGTCCCTGCTTGCGCTGGGTCCAGGACCAAACCCCACTGCAGCTCAGCAATTTAAAACACAGTAGGAGCCAGAGGACAGGCTGCCCAGCTCCTACTGCATTTTAAATTGCAGAACTGCAGCGGGGTCGCGTCTCTGGTATAGAGGCAGCAAGTGGGGGGAAGCAGGAGCCGGTGCTGGGGAGAGCCAGCTTAAAAGCTGTTTCCTCCTAGCACCATTTCTATGGTGCCGCCTGCCTCCCAGCCCCTCCTCATTGCAAGGATGGGGAATACGGGTAGTCAAGTCTAGGCTTATTGAGTTGTCAACTACTGGGGACGAGCTACTTCAAACTATGTTGAATTCTTGTACATAGTGGGGACATGAACCTTGAACTTTACAAAACTGGGTACTAAAAAATTGACCTTAATAAATTAAATCTTATCTGTCACTGTAGACACGGCCTTTCTTTGGTGCTGTAGAAATCTTTCCCTTGTTTTAGCACACTGGGAGAAAAGGCTGTCAATGTCCTCTTAAGTTCATGGACGTAGGCCCATCAATGGCTGTTAGTTAAGATGGTCAGTGATGCAACTTCATGATCCAAGTGTCCCTAACCCTTCAATAGTCAGAAGCTGGCTATGTCTACACTACAAAGATAAATTGGAAAAAGAAACAATTTTCCTATTTACTTCTGAAAGAGGCATTTCTGAAATTTGGCCTGTGTACATGGGGCCAAATTTCAGGAAAAAAACGTCTTTCGGAACATCCTTCTTCCCTGTAAAACGAGGTTTACAGAGATGCAGAAAAAACACATCCACTTTTCTGACATCTTTTTCTGATGTTCCCAGTAGGGATGCAGAGCTCTGCAGTCTAGACATAGCCGGAGGGACTGGATGCCAGGGGATGAATCACTCAAAATCACCCTGTTCTGTTCATTCGCTCTAAAGCTCTGCTCACTATCAGAAAACAAGGTACTGGGCTATGTTACCAGTTGGTCTTGACAAAGGTCCTACTAAATTCATGGTCCATTTTTGTCAGTTTTACAGTCCTAGGATTTTAAAAATAGTAAATTTAATTATTTTACCTATTTAAATCTGAAAGTGCATAGTGTTGTAATTGTAGGAGTCCTGACTGAAAATGGCATTGTGGGAGGTCACAAGTGTATTGTAGGAGGGTTGCAGTACCCATATCAGTACTTCCGTGCTCCTGTTGACAGCTGAAAAGCAGCAACTACTGGCTGGAAGCCTAGCTCTGAAGGCAGAGCCACAATCAGCAGCAATGCAAAAGTAAGTGTGGCATGATATAGTATTGACATTCTTACTTCTGCCTTGCTGCCTGCAGAGCTGAGTCTCAGACAACAGCTGCCACTCTCTGGCCAGCTAACTCTGAAGTTAGGATGTGAAAGTGTAACCGTGTAAATCAGGTGGGCAATAATTTTTGGTGGGGGGGCCACTCCCAAGATTTTGGAAAGTGGTCTAGGGCCGCACTCTTCCATAGTATTAATGGAGGAGGAGCGCGGTCTGGGATGAAGGTCGGGGTGCAGAAGGGAGCTTGGGGTAAAGGATTGGGGTGCAGGAGGGAGAATGGGGTCTGGGAGGGAGTTTGGGCAAAGGAGGTAGATGTGACCTAGGGCAGGGAACTTGGATGCAGAGTTTTGGGATGTGACCTAGGATAGGAGGAGATTGTGATTTTGGGCAGGAGATTGGGGTGCCAGATCTGGGAGGGGGTATGGATGCATGTTGAGTAGCAGGGCAGGAGTGTGGGCCAGAGGGTTGGGAAGGGAGAGGCAGGCTGAGGTGCCAGACGCGGATTCTCGCCACAAGACTTACCAGTCTACAGCCAAACCTGCCTAACTGTAGAGCTAAAGGCTTGCAGAGTTTAAAATGTTTCTGCCTGCTTGGCCATGGGCATGAGTGACTGAGCAGGAGGGTTGTGCTTTGTGGCTACCTGTTAGTCAAACAGGCAGCTCCTATTGCCCAGTGTCTGTCCAGAAACTGGCCAATGGGATTGTGCTGGGGGTGAGAGCAGTGTCTGAATCCCCTCTCTTTCCCCCCGTTCCCCCCCGGACTCAAAGAGAAAGTGCCCAGCAGCCGCGTTTCTGAGCGGTATGTAGGGCTTTGGGGTAAGCAGGGGAGCCTGCCTGGGGCTCCCCACCACCTCCGCGGGCTGGATCCAGTGGCTTGGCGGGCCAAATCCAGCCCATGGGCCATATTTTGCCCAGGCCTGGTGTAAATGGTTATCCAATGAGCCTGGGCTCATTGGTTAACATTCATGGTTATACACAGGAGCCTGGTATGTGTAGAAAGCTGGCTTAAAAGCTGAGTCCCCGTATGCACCGGCTCCTGGGGAACCAATTTACACCCTGTGCTGCTGCCTCTGATACAGAGGCAGCAGCCTGGGAAGGCAGGTGGGAGCTGGTATGCATTGGGAGCCAGCTTAAAGTTGGATCCGCATGTGCACTAGCTCATGGGAAGCCAACTGCCATCCTTCATGTAATCGTGTAACCACTGAAATTTTCAGAAGTTTTATGGTTACTTAATTACACACATTTTAACATCCCTGCTCTGAAGGTAGTGCAAAATGAGGGTGGCAATAGTGTGACCCCTCTAAATATCCTTGTGGCCTTCTACAACTCCCTTTTGTTTCAGGATTCCCAATTTGAGAAATGCTGGGGAACGTGCAGGGAGCTGCTCCAGTCCCTTACCTGTTTAGGGTGATGCTTACTGATTAGCCAGTGAACCAGTTAACCTTTCATATCCTTAATGTAAATTATCCTGTTTAGGAAAGAACAATAAACTAGTTCAACTTTCCAATAACCCCTTGTTTTCATTAATCAAATCAAGAACATACAGGTCTCTATGAAAAAACAAGGAATTTGCCAGAATGTGTCATTCAATCCATACATTCTTTCTCATCTTAAATTCCACATCTGAATCAACTGCACACTACTCTGTGTTACGTTTTACATTCACAGAAAGTCAACATGTACTTCCAGTCTATATTTCATTTATTTTAATTAACAAACAGCCAAAAAGATTAGGATTAATTTTGCTATCATCTTTTCTTTGCTGATTACATCTCCTATTAACCTTTCCAAGATTTTGCCCAGGATTGATGGCAGAATAAGCAGCCTATATTTATCTGATTCATCCTGTTTGCCCCTTGCCCCCCACTTTTTTTTTAACATACAGGCACAATATTTGGATTTCTGAAGATAACTAGGGTACTCTGTATCTACTCAATGGCCTCAGATTTACAACTACCCAAGTAGAGTTTACACCAGTTTTCTGCTTCTATGGAGCAGTATGGCCCAGCAGATAAAGCCCTAGACTGGCATGTAGGTGATCTGGTTTCTGTTCCTGGCTCTGCTGATGGTTTTGAGCAAGTCACTTTATTTTTCTTTGTCTCAGTTCCTAACTATAAAATGGGATACTTATCCTTAGCCAGGGGGTGGCTCTATGCTCCCAGAAGGGTAGAAGAGGCAGGACCAAGAGCTGCGCTCCCCACTCCCTCCCAGCCTTTCGCACTTGTCAAAATGCATGATCCAGTGCTCGGATAGCAATTTAAAGGGACTACTGCAGCAGCGGTATAATGCAGGAGACATTACAGGCAGTCCCCAGGTTACATGGATCCGACTTACATCGGATCCCTACTTACAAATGAGGTGAGACAACCCCGCACTAGCTGCTTCCCCCCAGCAGACCAGGGAGACGCGAAGCTAGCACCTCCCCCAGCAGACCAGGTTGACGCGGAGCGGCTTTTCTCAGCAGACACCTCAGCTTGAGAACAAAGGACTGAGGGAAGTGAGGTGTGGGAGAATAAAACTGAGCTCTGGAGAAATGTTTGGCTAGAGTTTCCCCTACAATATGTACCAGTTCCGACTTACATACAAATTCAACTTAAGAACAAACCTACAGTCCCTATCTTGTACGTAACCTGGGGACTGCCTGTATATTTAGTCATAAGCAGCAGGTATAAAAGGCAGGGGAAAGCAATGCCTTCCCAAATTGACAGTCTGGCCCCACCTACATTCCACCCTCTCCCTAACCTCTGGGGAAGCCTGGGGCCATCCGCCCCCCAACCTCCCTCCCCTCTACCCATGCTCTGGCCAGGGTTGGAGAAGGCTGGGGACTGGGTGCCACCCACCCTTGGTACTACCCGGCTGGGGCGGGGGGGAGGGGGGGGGGGGCCCTGCCGCTACAGTGGGGGCCACTTGGTTCCCATGAGGCCTAAGTTGGCAGGGGCAGGGCTGGAGGCTTAGGAACCCTAGGTGCACCGTCACCCATGTATATAGTGATGCAGCACAGGCAGCCCCCCGACTTGCAATGCGATCGGTTCCTGGGAAAGTGTCGCAAGTCGGGGGCATCGTAATTCGAACCCGCATTTACGATAGGTGCCGTGCGCATAAGTCGGGGGGTTTCGGCTCCTTCTGCACTTACAAAAATGGTCGTAAGTGCGTGTGTGTGTGTGGGGGGGGGGGGGTCACAACTCGGGCCATTATAAGGCAGGAGTTTCCTGTATGCAGAAAATAGAAACTTAATTTCACCCCTATAGTTAGTATTATTAAACTAACCTATGTATTTACATTAAAAAGTAAATATATTGAACTGTTTCAAAATGCAATACAAGTAAAAAGATCTATGGGATTCTGTTGTTATTCACAAACCATGCAAAATTCTAACATGAATGACTAATGTTGCTCCAAAGTTTCAAACGGGGTTGCTGTGTTAGTCTGTAACTGGAAAAACTTAAAAAACAACACCTTAGAGCAGTGGTTCCCAACACGGCGCCCGCGGGGCCATTTGTGTGCTCCCGCCAAGTGCTCGGGGCTGGCCTGGCCCCGGGCACGTGGTGCATGCATGGTGCCATGCAAAATTCTAACATGAATGACTAATGTTGCTCCAAAGTTTCAAACGGGGTTGCTGTGTTAGTCTGTAACTGGAAAAACTTAAAAAACAACACCTTAGAGCAGTGGTTCCCAACACGGCGCCCGCGGGGCCATTTGTGTGCTCCCGCCAAGTGCTCGGGGCTGGCCTGGCCCCGGGCACGTGGTGCATGCATGGTGCCGGAGCTGGCCCGGGCGCATGGTGAGCGCCGGTCCCGGGAGCACCGCGAATTGGCCGCTCGTGCCCTGGGCGCGCTGCACTTGTGAGGGAGCGCCGGCCCCGGGCGCGCGGCGCTTGGTGGGAGGGC